TGATTGGACAGACAAAACTAGTCAAGCAAAGCTGCCGCATGCTGGTGCACCGAATGAGCAAACTTTATTTTAATGGGAAGGAACACCTGTATTTTGGCTTCAGTGTTCAAGTAAATATCTAACAGAATCTAAATATCAGCAATAAACAATACAAATAAATACAATCGGGAGCACAATGAAAAAGAGAATGGAACAATCGCATAGTCTTTTTTCTGTTTCAAAATCCTTTTCTGAGTTTTAACTTTCTGAAGCCACGAGTGCCGCTGAGAGCTATTCTACACGCCAGGTGGTTGATCTCTGCAGCTTGTGCTAACAAAGTGTCACTCTGGGCGTCGGCGTCCTCTCACCTTTCCGGGTACAGCTGACTAAGCACCCAAACCATCTGCACGGCCGCAGAGCGGACCTGCTCGTAGTCGTCTGTCAGCAACCTGCAGGCCTGCAAACAGACATACATGCTGTTAACACACTGACATCCGCCGCGGCTGAGATGGATGCTGATGATTGACATGACGGGGCTGTTACCTGGTCGTAAATGATCTCATGAATCTTCATTCCTCTCTCATGCAGCTGCAGCTGGAAAAGAAAACAAACAGGATGAGCCGTTATTTAAAGAGAACGATCAGCGGACCGGGTCTTCTCCCTACTGCTGTGTGGCTCCCTGAATACACTTGTGGGTGCTAGTTGAGTTCTTTGGTGAGTGCAGGTGATGGCGGTGCCCTACCATGGCTTTGAGGGCTGCAGTGCGAACTCTGGGGTCCTGGTCCCCGAAGTAGTCGCTAATGATAGTCTGGACGTCCCTCACGTCTCCTGCAAAACGACAAGATGCAGCAGCCATGACCACCCACTCAAATGAAGTACAACATGGTTCATTTCAGTTTTACATTGAATTGCAGACATTTCAATGCTTTCGGGTATTTTCCTATCCATTTTTCATTTATTTTAAAAATACAAAAGGGCTACCAAAACAAAAGTTCTTTTTTATTGTCTTATATTCCGTTCATACCTGCTAATTCTTCTCCTAACGCCGTTTGTATATTAATAAACAAAAAACACCAATATGCCATGAAGTTGTTAGTTGTTAATATAGAGTAATGTGGGGCCTAAAAGAAAAGGCACTAGAAATTTGTTTGAGTAGCAGATAATTACAGGCTATATAGATAATAACAATGCAAACCCAAGTTGCTACATTTCAGTATGAACATACTACACTGTAATCCAGGACCGGTACAGTGAGTTTTTAAACGTGGGTATTTTATAATTGGATGAGGATTTGGATGAGGGTTACATGGCATGAATTTAATAGTAATATAAAACTGAATTCGGCTTTAAAAGCTTGTTATCAATTAAAACCATTGATAGTCATTTATAGTAAGCGCTGTTTGCAAATGAGTCCCATTGAATCTTAAAGTAAGGTAAAACACTGACAGTTCAACCATTGCACAGAGAGATGGCACAGACCTAATGAGGTGCCAGCTCCCTCGTTGTCTTTGGTCAGCGGAGCGTCCACCGTGCCAAGACACCCAAGGAGCTTCAGACACTTGTTCCTCACCCCGAAATACGTGTCTGACAGGTGCTGAGAGGAGGAAAGACGAACACAAACACAGGGGAGAGGTTTTGCCTTGTTCAGATAGTCCTGTCAAGTCTGTGCAGTCCTTAAAGAACACTAGACAGTGAGGTACTGTCTACCAAGTGTCTGCGCGTGTCACCTTGCATGCCATCTGTATGAGCCTCAGTCTGACTGTAGGACTCTCAGGTAGTTGCGTGCCAATGACCAGCAGAGTGTCCAGCAGCTGGGCGAGGACCTGATGGGACTCTGCAGACAAAGGAAGAAACAGACACTTTGTTAGCTTTTCATAGCGGTCTTCTTGGAAGGGGAGTTGACAAACTATTTTATTGACTTTGTGTGCGTCCAATTTAGCAGATCTAGTTGCAATGTCCACCGTTTCTTTAGGGAGATTGTGGAAACATAAAACTCATACTCATTTTAATATACTCTTTAATTAAAATTCTAGAAGGCACAACATCTTGGATCTCTACAGCTAGATATATTTAATAAACTCTACCTAAATCATCAAATTGTTCTGTGTGAACACTGCTCAGTGCACAGGAACAACATTGCTCCTGTTGGTGCTTGGGGTAGAATAAAACATTAAATCACAGTCCCCTGAGATCCCTTTCTTAACAACACATATTGTAATAATTTCCAATTACAAATTGAATGTGTGTGTGTGTAAATATGCAATTTAAAAAAAGACACTTTAGTCGTGTATTACTCTCATTGTTGAGTGTGTTAATGGCATCGTCCACTATGCAGTCAGGGCTGAAGCCCTGCGTCTTGGACAGCAGACCCAGCAGGGATGCGATCTTCAGCCTCACCGAGTTATCGGTCTCCTGTGAGAGCACATCAGCATCAACATGAGTTACGTCTGTGCAGCTTAGCTTAGACTTAACCAAGCGAACGCTGAGTCAAACTTGTAAATTGTGCTTAAAGCCGCATCCTGTGTATGAGCGCAGCAAAGAACCTCTCAACAAACAATGGATTATTCGGACATGTTGACGGTTGCGACCCACACAGAGTTCATTACCTTGTAGTAGTGCTCCAACAGGATCCGGACCACACCCTCCACGCTCTCCACCTCCACGGGCTTGCGTGCAAAGTGCAGCAGGTACTGCAGGGCATCAGTGGAGTTGGTGGCCTTGCAGAGGTCGATGTGTAGAGCAGCAGACTTGCTGGGTTTGGACAGTCGCAGCTTCTTGGCTGGAGCTTCTTCGTGGGTAATCTGTCAGCGTGCAAGAGTTTTAAAAGTGTGATCTGTCCTCCTCAGATCAGACTTCATCCTGCCTTATTTATTTCAACAATCCTCTGTCACATGGGAACATTTTACAAACATGAAGTTGATAATCTACCAACGGTCATTACGTATGTTCGCTTTCGTTGAATGCAGAACATTTACATATTTTCACAGCGTCGTATTTAGCAACGTACATTTACTTCCAATTAACGTTCACATCTGACAGTCAACAGTCGCTTTTATTAACTTACCGGTGGGAAATGCCGATGTCAATACAGACAGTGCTACAGGGAACAAACAACTAGCAACAGTGACGTTATAGGCCGCATGAATGGATTGTATTTAACTATTGCTCACTGTAGTATCTTCAATTAAAAAAGTTATCTAACGAACATTAGTTTTCATGTAAATAACGCCAACTTAGCTGGTTGGAGTATAGGGTAATATTACAGCCAAGTTAAGGACACCTATTAACTAACGTTAATACTATGATATCACACATGGGATATTTATTGTATCACAGCGATGAGATGGGGTCGTGGGACAGGGGGTAGAGCGGGTGTGCTGGGAACCGTTGGTGGTTCGAGTCCCGGCTGCCCCATGTCTCAAGTCGAAGTCTCCCTGAGCAAGACACCTAACCCCTAATTGCTCCCTGGGCAAAATGTGAAAAAAAAAGCCATGGGTCTAAAGTGTAATGTAAGTCGCTTTGGATAAAAGCGTCTGCTAAATGACCTGTAATGTAATGGAACTGTTTTACGTTGTGGCCGTTAGCGGCCTGCTGTTATTGTTAGCATGCTATTTAGCATTGGCTAACAGGCTAGTTAGCTTTCCAGCGCCACCTTTAACATTCGCGTTGGGTCACAGTGAGTTTACTAAGAGGGACGATGGAAGCGTTTTCACGTGCTCACCTGTACAACTCTGGAAAATTCCTCATAAACTCGCTTTTTCAAGTGCGCTGCCATGTTCAGGGGAAGATGACTAGCCAAACGCTCTATTCAGCCGGCAACATTAATTTGTCCATTAATGCTTCCCGTAGCTACGGCAAGGGAAGGGAAGGGCGTTTTGTAAGTTAAATCGCTAAATGGAGTTTTTATCACGTCATGACGATGAACTGACGCATTTTCTTAGAAGCAGATTGTTATAAAATTGAATGATTTATTGTGCACTATACAGCAGCACGCGCACACACACACAATAGGTGAGCTCACTTCTACCAACGGAGAGAGCCCACGTCGGGACATGTGTCGGTACACCTGAAAGGGAAACCCTGAATTGAATTATTTAACACTGCCGCACAACTTGCATTATGTAACTGACTACATTTAAAAGTAATCACGCCTCACTACATTTATTCCTAAAGTTGATAGTTGACATAAATCATCCTATTTTAAACTGATGAACTCGCTCATAATAATGTTGCATAACATAATCCAGTTCAACCTCACATTTAATCCCCACTTAATGGAAAGGGAACAGTTAAAATAATAGGGACAGTAAATTATGTGATCAACAGTGCACAATACCAACTCCGTTTTGCCAATGTCATTTAGAATATTAGTTCCCTCAACAGCTCTTTGGCGGAATGTTTTTTTCTAATATTTGGTACAACGTATTACACACCATCATTCAGCTAAACAGACTATGGGTACACATTGTTTTCATGTTGTACATTTAATCATTTTCTAAACAAAGTATATGAACAATGATTTATTTCTCTCATGTCTTCATTTGTATTTGAACTCAAATCTGCACTGCTAAAATTTCAATTGCACAACTACCTACTTTCTACTTCTGTCAAATACACTGTAAAAAACGTAATGTAAAATTCTTCCCAAAAAATAAACTGGCAGCGAGGGACGAGTAACTTACTGTTAAAATAATGTGAAGTAAGTAAGTGAATGTTACCATGTATAATATTTTTAATACAGCAGTGTTTTGATTGTAAAATCAAATAATCTAATTTCATTATTTACTGTATTATAGGTTACAGTAATAGTGTTCTAACCATAATACTAAAGAACCTCCAAGGAGGGTAATTTTGCTCATAGTTACAGTGTTTAAAATGTAAAATAAACAGAAGTATAAAGTATGAAATTCAATTTTTCTATCTGTGGCAAGCTGGTAATAAAAATATTAACAGTATTCTGCTGTTTAAATAAAATTACACATTTTTAAGCTTCGACAATAACTGCCGGGAGACAGAAAATTATATATTCAAACAATTTATTCTTAATTATGGTACATGGTTAACATATTTGTACATATGGATGAGATGATTTCAACAAACATAATGCCCTAGGAATTCTGTCCTTTTGATAATTAATATTACCTTTTAAAATGGTCACAACTGAGAGGCAAATGTAATCTAAAAACATTTCAAATATTACCAGTCGTAAAATGATGGATCGTAATATCCAAGACATGGATATTGCAATATTTTAAACAGTGGTTATACCACAAAAGCATTTTCTTGATATTTTATTATTTTCAGAGCAGAGAATAGGACGAATATTTTCTTTCTCTCCTTTCTTCATTCGTATTAGACCTCAAACCTATTCTTCAATAATACTACTATCAATTACAACTACCACGACAAAAAAAAAAAGATGTACAAAGCGCTGCACCATCAGTGTCCGATTTATTAAACTGTCAAAACGGAAAAAATACAAAGCCTTGGATGGGTTGCAATTCAATAACGTAAATCCCATTAAAACATATTCTTCTGAATACTGAGTTTTGCCGGCTCTGGTTTGGCCTTCTTGGGCACTTGTCTGTCCGTGTTCAGTAGCATTGCTGCCTCACTTCAAACACAACTCTTTTTTTGTGTATGTTTTTCAAGGCAGCACTGATTGACAGGTAATGACAGGTGATGTGTGCCAGTTCGGGTCAGTCCATCTTGGTATGGGGGATAATGAAATTAGCCTACCAAATATAAATGTATTTTATAAACGTACTTATGTATTTTATTGAATATTCATTTTATCACTATCACAGGATATTTGAATGGATGCTAAATTCAAATATATTTTTAAAACATCTCACATAGCCTACTGCCTGGAGTGCTTCCACATACCCCCATTTGAGAATAACTACTATATATGATATACATTTCAGCTTTTAAAGCTCATTTGCTGTATTTGTTACCTATTAAATCCTATGATCAAAATCTTACAGCCATAAAATATTTAGGTTTTAATGGTTTATCTTGCCACGCAAAGTGGTTTCTGGGTTCTAAATATATTTTTTTGGCAAATGAAAATAGAGTGAAAACACATTCGGTTTTAGACTTACACACATATTCCCCTACTGTTATTGTTGACTTAGCTTCATGCACAAAAATAAGGCCGAACTGTAACGATCCAGATTGCAAGACACAAGCATGTGATCCATGAAGATCTGAGGCTTGCAAAATGATAAGAAATCAAGCTCAAAGCCAAAAGTAAGAGGAAAAAATTACACATAATATGTGTAGAGCAGTGATGAACAGTCAGTTCATTTCTTGCAGCTCCATACCAGCTGCAAATGCTTTGGCCCTCTTACGGTCCCCTCTCCATGTGAAGAAGCTCACAATGAGCACCATGACAGGCAGAGCCACACAGAGCACGATGCGGCTGATGGGGAGCTGAACTGGATTCTGTGCGGTGGGAGTAGTTTGGAACAAAAAAGCAGAAGTGAAGTCCAGAAATGCCGCCGTGCCGTTCTCTTGGCTGCTCACCTGACACCTCAGCTTCCTGTTGTTGTCTTCCCTCCTGAGCTTTGTGACCAAAGTGAGGCTGCAACGGGTGCTGAAGATGAGCTCTTGCCTGTGCAAAAGGGGACATTTTTCTTTTAAAACAAGTTAATGAGCCAGTTTTTTACTGGGAGACATGTTCCTTTAGTGCACACAGTTTGTTTGGATTCAATCCCACAAACACCATCCTGCTGATAAAAACGAGTCAGTACAGCCCATAATATGGATTAATCCACCTATGAAAACAGTTCCAAACAAATGAAAATTTCTCTTGCTAGGTAGCTGTTTTAGGAAATTCATGAAAAGGTTTATTTAATTAACTCAATAAATGTAAGTGACTTTACAAGTATTTGCTCCGTAGGAACCTAGTTCTTCAGAGGCTTCTGATCATTCGCCGACCGATTACGTCACTTTGGCTGCAACTCGGGTGTTCCAAATCCTTCAAATGCTGTTGACAAATGCTGCCCTTCAGTTGGCGATTTGGAGGACGCACCCGATGTATCCTTTGCGGCCCAGCATATCCCATTATGCATTGAGGGCCGACACTGTAAACGGCAGCTCGTCTGCCCACATCCCGCAGTGAAAAGTTACTTTAACGCCATAACTTTCAAACTTAGTTTGACCAATATCTTACTGAGGTTGTGCCGAACAGAAATGAAGTGTATCAAAGTGAGCTCAGGTGACAAATTATAAAATATCACCTTCTAAGTTCAATAAGGTTACAAATGTTGAGAATACACAACGAAATTGAACTTGGCTGCTTTGCTATTTTAGTTTTGTGGTGTGATTAAGAACTAACTTTACATTTTGTTTCTTTTTAGGGAGCCAAGAGAAAGCAGCATCAAGCTAAAGGGGAGCATGTTGTGTGGCAGCATTCAGCTACTGTCTCTTGCACATATTGGTATGGTTCGCATATCCAAGAAGAAAAGCAAAAAGTCTGTGCATAAAAGTTAATAAACATTTAACAGTTAATAAACATACGTTTGCGGACATTTATTTAGCTGCTGTGGTTTTTATCGACTGTATTGATTTATTTTCTCTGCCTTACGTTTGCAATTTTATTTTCTAATTAAAAGTATATGGCTTAACCAATTGCAATGTAATGTTCTTCTATCACCCCGATATCTATCAAGCTCCATCTTCCTTAATTAAATGAAATAAGAAGAATCCCATCTCAATCTGCTTTGTTTTATGAGTTATCAGGTTTTCACTCTCAAGCGCAGCAGGTTAATATGCAAACAGGAAGTTCCCCCGGCCAGCGTCCCATTTCAGAGACAGCTCGGTTCAGCCTATGCAGTAGCTGGAGGAGCCAGACCGCGATAGCCGGGTCCTTGTGACGATGCAGCCGACAAAATGAGATCAGTGTTGGTTTTGTGGTTTTTCTCTTGAACCATGGACAATCAAGAAACCAATAATTAAACGAAACCACCACAATAAATAATTCACATTTTTATTGTGAAAATTGTTTTTTATTTGTGTAATTTTTTAACATTTCTGCAACTTTTGTATTATTATCAGGAAACTGAAATTGTTATTTGATTATCATTTTTCTTATGTCTTGTATTGTATTATTTATTCACCATTGTTTCATAATTGGTTCCATCCATCCATCCATAATGTTTATTACTTTAAAACTACCAATAATGTTGGTCAATGAAAGCTCTCGCTTTCGACGCAAGCCTAGAAAAATGGCTCGACACACGCAAGGACCCAAGGAGGTGTGAAAAGCGACGCAAGGAACACGCAAGGGAGTCTCGAGTCTGCGTCGCTCTGAAAACGCAGAAGCATAAACTAGGCTTCAGAATGTACCATTCATCAACCGTACGTGAATCTATGAAGTTTCCCACTTCCGCAAACAACTGTGAACGCAGCGCAACATCCGCGCAATGGCGCCTGAGTTCGGTAAAGTTTGAAAGATATTCACAGATTCGGACAGCGGGTCTGCGAAACGTTGTTGAAACACAAAGACGCCTCTCTGTAACCATGGTGATGTCCCCTTGGAGACGGTCCCTGCGTACTCGTCTCACAGGTGGCTGCACATTCAGTCTTTCCTCAACACACTGATCGGGGGTTTCCCAATCAAACTCATAGGTGCATCTCGATATATATATACATGTTCTAATAGATTTTATATAAATAGATTTAACATGATATATACCTATTCTTTGATATACTGAATTGTTTGAATAAGAAGTCCTTATTATGTTAAACTGTTAAATATTTAACTTCAGTAAATAGAGAGCGTTTGATACCCCTTTTTGCATTGACTCATACTGGGATGTTTGCTGAAACTGATTGGATGGCCCCACCAAAAAAAATTCCACCAGCGCCACTGGCCGTGAGTAACAGAAACAGAACCACAAAATGAGCACCTGGTGCCGTTGCGCAGCGTGACGCCGTCCTCGGACGCCCAGGTGAGGTCGAACGGGGCGGGCCGCCCCGCGCACAGCCCGGTGTCGTAGTAGGTGAACACGGTGCAGCTGAGGGCGATGCGTCCTCCGGGCTGCAGCTCGGTCACGGTGGAGGACGAAGTAATGGCGAGCAGAGACAGGTAAACGGCAGTGATGCTTTGCTGGTGCGTCTTGCAGTGGTAGGAGCCGGCGTCGTCGACCACGAGGTCGCGCACGGCGAGGGAGCAGTTGGACGCGAGGGTCAAGCGGCTGGACTTGTCGGAGACCGCACTCACGCGCCCCTCGCGGACCTCCTCCGTGAACCGCACGCGGCCGCCTTGGTAGAAGGTCCAGGTGATCGAGGAGCAGTCTAGGGGGACCGGGCTGTAACACGGCAGGAGGGCGTCCCCTCCAAGTCTGCTGTACAACAACACCGCGCCCCGACTGCACCTCACAACTGTGAACAAACGAGTCGAGTTTACATAAACCCGCAACAACAACTTGAAAGAGAGAAGATAAAAATCGGTGCTCCACACTGGTTGCACAGATTTTCCATTACCCTTGATGCAACGACTCGGAGACTTCTGGCCACATGGTGCAGGTCTAGAACTTATGAGCAGTACATCATAAGAGTGATTTTCCTTCTTCAATAGTTTCATTTAAGTACTGTTCAGAGACTCGAACAGGTCACACTATAGGGTATTGATCGAATTCACTTCATGCTGCTCTGTAATTCTATTTCAACTGAAAATATCAACAGCAAATGGAATACAATGCACTGTTAAAGTCAAAAAGTGTTTTCCCTCATAAAAAAAAACAGCTTGGATTTAAACTTGGTTTTTGTGTCCTTCTTTTCACTTAGACACAGCGTTTGTACTTTTGAACAGTTAGAATCATGACTTTCACTTTGTTCAATAATCAAATCAAACTCCTGGATATGTAAACATAATAGATGATATTTATAGATACTTAAAAAAAAAAAAGCAAATTACTTCCACCCAATGAAAAAAAAAAATCAAAGCACCATAAACAGACATGAATGAAAGCGTACCTGTCGGAAGAAGACCGACGAGCAGGAATCTTATCAGGCTGGACATCATGTCAGAGGTTTCGGTTCTAAAGAAACTCTGCTCGTCTCTGCCGCTGCTCCTACTGCTGCTGCTACATTTCCTGTGTGACAGAACGGAGGATGCACCCATCCGCCTTCATCTTTACTGTTGTACACTTCTAAAATATAAATATAGAAGATTAAAAAAATTAATGATTAAATTCTTCAGCTTCATATTAATTCACCAACAATTGATTCCGGTGTTTCTTTCAGCAACAAACTTTTAGAAAACTTTCTACACACAATATGTATGGCTTCAAAAAATGATGTGGTTTAAACGGTTATTTTAAGTTAAACACAACTGAATTACAACAAATACCATGAAATAAAAAAGGAACTTGCATATCAAAGGCAAATTGATTTTCTTTGCACTGAACGTCTGGTCTTTTATTCCTCCTGTGATTCTCTGCCACGCGTTGTTTGTTTTTCCTCGGTGCTGCTGGAACAACTTACCCGAAGACAACTAAAACGGTTTTTACTGCACTGAAACAGTTTTTGAGCATTAATAACAGACAAACCACAGTAGTTGTTAAACGTAGTTTAGGTTTCTTATGCCCTGAATTGTTTATATGACCCACTGGCATCTTATTAACAACTACAATGCCCAAAAAATATTTTCCAGCTGCATCATCATTTGAAGAACAAACACAGGCCGTCAATGTCAGATTAAATATGTGTAAACTGAGGGAAAGTGCACATTCCGAAAACATAGAAAGGTAAAAGCATGCTCTTCTGCTCATTGCCAGAGGGGTCGGGGAGGGGAGGGGGGGTTGTATTTAAGAGGAAGTGCGAATGCGTGCTACTGTGGTTAAAAACTACTATTGGGAGATCGCTCACTTTGCTAACTAGCTCCGAACGCTGAACCCTGATGGGTGATATCATTCCTTTTGAGGCGTCGCTGGTCATAATTTGACATGTTGATACAATGGAACTGAATGAAAAGTCAAATGAATGGCAAACATTTGAACCAAAAAACACCAGTGGGAGAAGTTGGGTGGGTGCTGATGGTGGGGGGAGGGAAAGGGAGTTGGTTGGATGAACTCAGGAAAATCGCTTAATCCTGCAACATCTAGTCTTATGAGAAGAAAACAAAGTGATTCCTAAACAAGACCCACTCTCTAAATGCAGCTGTGGAGACAACTTGGTCAACATTGAAATTCAGGCGCGAACACTTGGATACTTGTAAACATAAAACGGTTTAGTCGAAGCCTAATAAAAACTAAAACTAAAAAAAATCGGCTAATGAGGCACGTGCCCTTCCGGCTGCTTTTTGACTGTTTGAGTGACAGCCAGAAGGACACTTGACGGCCTTTACCCTCAGCTTCACCTGGGTTCTTATCTCAACCTGATATGTAGCTTTTTCGTGCACGGCACTGGTCTTCATGTGTATAAAAACTCTGCGGTTTTACTGCTCGGGGACGCAATTACGTCCCCGGGGACGCTGAGATATGTGCTTGTGTGTTTGACCTCCTACTTGCAAGCAATAGTTAGAGCCAGATATCTGCGGAGAATTGCTCATGTAATCTTTTTCTCTTCTAAATAAATGTTAACTTTTTGACTTTAATTGATCAACGTGTTGCGATCCTTCTCATCAACCAACTCGGGGGGATCCCGACACCGCTCTTCTACCGGGCAGCATTTCTTATTGCTGCTTCTTCACGCTCTGAGCACACAGGAAGTGGGCTGACATGAAGCCCTACCAGCAGAGACCTCCCCCCCCCCCGAAGCTGTGTGGTTAGCGCCGGGGCCTCTGCTTCTCTGTCCCGTGCTGCGGCTTTCCCCCGATGTAACACGATTTTTTAAACCAACGGGATTTTCAATTCACTTATTGAAGAGCCCGCAGTTTTAGTAACTTTAAAAGAAGCTCCTGCTACAATATTGTCCTAAATGTGAGCACAATAATTATAAGGGATTCAAGCAGCTTTCATTTCTAATGCACTTGTCATTTTATTTAATGACATTATTTAAGTACTTATTTTCACCACTGCAGTATTTTTCTGTTTGTATTGCAACAAATTGTCCTGGGGTCCGTTTCAAGAAGCGGGTTTAGTGGAAACTCAGACTTGGTTAACCCTGAGATGAGGGAAACTCTGGCTTGTCTGTTTCACAAAGGGAGGTAACTAAAGCTCAGGGTCAGTCACCATGGTAACTGAGCCTGTGAACATCACCTGGTCGGGAGCAGGTTTTCTTCAATAAACCTCGAGTTTCTTTCACAGTCTCCTCCCTCTGACAGCAGCCCAGCCAATGACACAGCACACTTTCATTTCCTCATTCATTCAAGTACTCTGTATCAGGCGGATTTTAGCGCAGTTTACACATATGAACAAAATAAGATCTCTGTTACGTTAAAGACTAAAGTGTTTTCTTGAACATGGCACGTCCTAACGACGCCCCTGGCCGTGAGAAACGTGTGCGTACATTAATATTTCCAGCTCAATAGGGGTGAATATATTGTTTGTGGTGGTTGCCATGGTGAAAAATGAACGGTTTGATCAATTTTTGTATTTCGATATTGTTTATTTAAATGTAGCAGTATTACACAGGATATGGAACGCTATATCTCTAAGCAGCACCAACATGTGACTTAGCATAAGACAAAGTAAATGTAAACAACACAACCGTTGACATACTTTACTGACCCCTTGTGTCTAAAATAGGTAGTGTGCCGAATAAAGTCCAGTTTTTCTTCGCAAAAGGTGCATCAACTTGTTCTGAAGACCTTTCTAAAGGTTTTATGTTCTTTGTCAGAAACGGTATATTTACCACCAAGTGAACGAGAGTCTGTGGAAGACGTTGTAGCTGCGGGACAGGAAGCTCTTCTCCACCACGTGAGGCTGGACGCTCACCTTGTAGCCCTGACTCTCGATGTCCATCTTCACGCAGTCCAGCAGGTCGTTAGTGGACAGCGCTGCCTTCCAGGGTCCGAAAGTCACCACAGACTCCTTGTCCGCCTCCAGGCTGCTGATAGCGCTGTCATAGAATCCCAGGTCCTCCTCCGTCCGCAGCACGCAGATTATGATGGTGGAGTGACGGGCGGCGATGGCCTCGGCTCTGGCGATGCGAATCAGCACCTGAGAAGAAGAGAAGTCAGGGTCCTGTGCTCATCAAATGTCTCACAAGTGAAGAGTTGCATCAACCGACTAGAGCTTTCTGATTTCACACAAACTACGAAAAAACATTAGAACTTTCTTTTAAAACCTTAAATTTGCATTTTATTTTTGTAACTATCCCAGTCACTATATGTTATTTTCATATATTTTGTATTGTATATTGTCATTTGGTCTTTTGAGTGATCAGTAATCACCAGTTGATGTTTTTTTTGTTCCTGAAAACCAGAGAAACTCCATCGGCTGACCTCGATGTTTTCTTTGTAGTGCGGCACTCTGGAGAGGAACTGCTGCCTCCCCACCAGCTCTCCGAACAGCTGGGGGGTTTCCTCCAAGAGTTTGACCAGCGGTTGGATGTTGTAGTACACCGCCTCCCTGTGAACCTACACACACACACACACACACACACAATATAATCCTGTCTGTTTCATAGGTCACAGTGTGTTTAACTATCAGTGACTCTTCCTTTGACCTCCTGGATGTTCTCCGCAGGCAGCCGGTCCGACCTCAGGTACTCGAGGACGGCCCCGAAGTGGGTGCCGTCGCGGTCGATGAAGTAGTGGCCTTGCGCCTCGCCGCGGGCTCTGGGCGGTCTGCTGAGCAGCTCCACCAGCTTGGACTCGGGGTGTTTCCTGAGCGTGCTCACAGAGGTGCTGAACATCTGGCCCCCCACGTTCAACTGCACGACGGGAGAGTGCTGAGAGAAAGGGGGTTGGTTAGTCCACAACAGTTGATGAAGAGCGGGGAGCTTGCGCACTGCTGTGCTGGGTTATTTTTAACGAGCTTCTTTAATTTGAATGATGCGGTACAGCCAACTAGTCATTCTTTTCATTAGTGATAGATTTGGTATTTTTTTAAATGATTTAATCCATGTCAAAGAAAAATACTAAAAAGGAATTGTGGGGGACCAACTGTCTAAAACTAAAAAGGTATTGGTTTTTAATATTACATTACAATACATGTCATTTAGCGGACGCTTTTATCCAAAGCGACGTACAATAAGTGCATTCAACCATAGGGAACAAACTCAGGAGAACAAGAAACAAGAAAGTGCAATTTCCTCAAATAAGCCAATTTACAATTTGCTATAGATGAGTGACGTTACAAGTACAATTTAAGTGCTACAATTTGTTAGTCTTTAGTGGAGTCTGAAGAGGTGTGTCTTTAGTTTGCGGCGGAAGATGTGAAGGCTCTCTGCGGTCCTGGTGTCTTCAGAGAGCTCGTTCCACCATTTCGGCGCAAGGACAGCAAAGAGTCGAGACCTAGTCGAGTGTTTTGCTCTCAGTGAGGGAGGGACGAGTAGTTTTGCAGATGCAGAGCGGAGAGTGCGGGTTGGGATGTAGGGTTTGACTATGTCCTGGATGTAAGCTGGACCCGATCCATTCACAGCATGGTACGTGAGCACCAATGTTTTGAACTGGATGCGGGCGGCCACCGGTAGCCAGTGAAGAGAGCGGAGGAGTGGAGTAGTGTGGGAGAATTTCGGAAGGTTGAAGACCAGTCGAGCTGCTGCATTCTGGATGAGCTGCAGAGGTCGAATGGCGGTGGCAGGGAGACCAGCCAGGAGGGAGTTGCAGTAGTCCAGACGGGAGATGACAAGAGCCTGAATCAGTACCTGCGCTGCCTTCTGAGTAATATGATATAAACCTTTGAGGAGACCCTTTAAAAATATATGATGGGCCCCAACTCGAGGTAGTTTGGAAACGCGGTCTCTCCAAACTTTTGACTTTTGCTTCAAATTGAGTTTCATATTTAAATAAACTGTAGTAAAGAAATGCCAAAGATAAATTGAAGGCCAGCTGAGTTTTAACTCGTTTCCCTTTCTTTGTTTTATGTCACTGTGAAATAAATGGCATCGGGTTAAACATCGAGGGTGACTAAGTAAGATGTTTGACACCGGATACTGTAGATTAAATTCCTTGTAAACACAAGGACTCACACACACGCACAGGGTGTGACTACAGCAAGGCACGTGTGGGATCTGAGAAGCATGCTGAGAAGAGTTTCTTTTCCCACAATATTGAAAACATTGTACAAAAAGTGGGGAACCCATAAAGGAATAGTAAATGCCTGCTGATGGAAAAACTGGAACGTAAGCCATAAATTAGCCTTGAAAGACATCAATGTGTTACCACTGAAGTCTCCAGACAGCACAAAACAGAAACCCGTCTTATCATGGCCCTTAAACATATTTGATCAAATGAAATGTACGAGAATGACAATTTAAAAACAGTTTTGAGTTATTTGAACTCAAAAGCAGCTTAATGCAAACTAAGCCGTATTTTTTTTAAATATACTGCTTTTACCCAGTACAGTATCCGAGTCAAACTTTGATATTTAGTTCTTCATAACTGTATTTCACTACCGTTCAGAAGCTGATGTCCTGTTTAGACCAGTACTTTTGTTTAATTGTAATGTCAAATATCGAGACGAGAAGCTCCCTGGGTGGTAGCTGCGTGTTAAAGATCCTCCATTGTGAGACAATCTCTTACTTCGGTCTTGCTTGAATAAATCGGAAGTTTCCTCTCGCTTCCTGTTGAACCCGCCTCTTCACATCTACTTACATATTGCCAAAGAGGAAAGAGCCCGGTGTACAATGTGCCCCTCGGTGCTAACATCCACCTGTTGGCTCTCTAAACAGCCCTTACTGCGCCAACAAATGTTCAAGTCTTGTTTTTCTTACTGGGTCTGCGGGTAAAGACGGCTTCGCCGATGATTTGCAGTCCGGTAGACTCATCGTGAACCGTCCACGAGGTAGCAGGGTTTGGTTTTACTGGTGAACAGGTGCGGGCGGGGGGCGTGGCCTAAGCCGGACCTGATGCCTTAGCGCCGCGAAGAGGAGTCACTCCGAATAGAAAAGTGACCACTTTAAGGGCTTACATCACGCGGATAAATTCATGGGAACGCAGAAACAAACCTGGACAAACTAAATGTATTTACTCCTAACGCCCAACGTGTTTTTCTTCCTTTTACTGTACTGTTGATTCATTGATGTCAGACATTATGTAAATAAGCACATATGGCTCAGAAAGCACCAATTTTTTTGTATTGAGAGTTCTGCGTTCTGATCCAAACGGTCATGTAAAAGGTTGCTAGTGTAATGCAACAAGAGCAGGTCATACAAGTGCTCTGGTTAGAGCGAGAAAACCAAATGAGACCAATTAAAACAGTCAATAACTTCAGGAAAAAAGGAAACGTTCTACAGATTAAATAGCTTAAAAGCTACCGTGTGGGTAAATAAAGGTAATTTGCTGATTTAAATCAATTGTGTAGTTTCAGAGTAAAATGCTAATTCGACTATGCAAAATCAGTTTAATGAAACTTCAGCGTGCTTTTTAATTCTGTAACAAAGAGACCACAACATGGCAAGTGTATTTTCCAGAATTTATTGTTTTTGTACACAAATGTCTGAGGGTCTTGCTTCCATCTGGTGGCACACTTTAAAACCTGCAAGACAAAAAAAAGTCAGAATTCAAAAGAATATTTGACACTCCAAAGTCAACATTTGCGCTGCTTCAAGCCTTCTCAGACAAATGCCTCAATGTCTTCAATCAAAAGGGACTCCCTGCTCTGAGGGACTGGAGCGGAACCACAGAACGTGAATCTGGACCAGAACCCTCAGAAGCAGTCTGAGCCCCGTTCCGACTCGTCATCGTCTCATCACTGAAGGGACTTAAAGTTGCGTTGCGCGTTGTTCCGATAGACCTCAGTAATGGCTCGGTACGACTAGGTCTTTCTTATTATAGTTCTGATGGTTCACATTTTATTTACTAACAATGAAAACACTGCTCAGTGAGATTTATAGCACCATGAGCAGAGCATGCTGCTTACGGGATCATCTCTTACCCTTACGCAGTGGGTACAGGTGTTCCTTGGGGCATGGGGGGAGCCTCTGGCTTGGCCCCCTTCTGCTCAGATGTGGGGGTGGTGGGCAGCTGCTCCTCCTTGGGCTCCACAATGCTGACGTGGTCGGGCAGGGGCTTCTTGGGGCCAATCTTACCGCTGGGGTCCCATGGCAGCATGATTTTAACCTTGATGCCGAGCACACCTAAGTAGGAGCACAGAACAAACATGTTAGGGCACAAACACAGCCAACGTAGAAGCACCAAACAAACAAAGTCGCAGGGGGGGGGGGGGTGTCCTGTGGCCCTGGTGGAGCAGTACTCACCTTGTCTCAGCAGGACGTGGCGGACGGCTGTGTCGACGTAGTAGTTGACTGGGTCTCCGCTGTGGATCATCAGGCCGTCCACAAACTTCATGGACTTGGCCCTCTGACCCCTCAGCTTGCCGGACACCACGACCTCGCAGCCCTTAGCGCCGCTCTCCATGATGAACCTCAGAACACCATAGCACGCCCTGAGAAGAGTCAACAGTGATGTCACTGCATGTACAGACTGCTTCTTTCAAGCTCATCCTGTAAAAGCAGGTGGTCATGAAGCACCAGTCTGAGTACAACTCCGCATCATCAATACTCAAATCCCTTTACCACCACGTTTCATTCAGCGGGGACATTGCGTTTGTGCCGCTTCAACCCTTCTCAGACAAATGCCTCAATGTCTTCAATCAAAAGGGACTCCCTGCTCTGAGGGACTAGAGCAGAACCACAGAACGTGAATCTGGACCAGAACCCTCAGAAGCAGTCTGAGCCCCGTTCCGACTCGTCATCGTATCATCACTGAAGGGACCAAGACAGAGAACCTAAATGGACTTTCCCCCGACAGCAGCCCCACTGGAAGGTCTTTGAAGAGAATTAAATAACCACAGGCCTACACTCCGATGTGGCCACATGAAGCTGCTTTGGTTCAGTAAATGTCTGCTTCTAGGTCAAGACCGCTCTCATACCATTATTTGGGCGGCGGAGGTGTAATTCACAAGTCACACCTTTTCCATGTTGAGCCAGTTTTATTTAATCATTTGTTGCTCAAATGGATTTAACTTTGACTAAAGTTTAGTTTTTTGCTTTCTGACATTACAATTCTTTACTAAGTTGTAAACGTGAGCCCTATTTTATGGGTACATATTGGTACAAGAAAAAACAATGTTATACATAAGTTGCATCATTGCGCTTTTTATATATATATATATAAAAAAAAAACCTTCATTAACTTTCCAGAAAAGCCAAAGCAACCGATTATAGTCACTGACTAGTAACATTTGATATGTTAAAGAGACCTGATGCAGCAATAAGAAATATTGTAAATCTTTCTAAAGGTTACTACGGCTGAAACCACAAATGATGAAATAGATTATTAAAAGTGTTGGCAACAAATTTCATTGGTTCGTTGTATTGTGTGATTATTACGTCACTCAATGAGTTGCAGAGATGTGTGGTGCAAAAAGCCAAGCTGACTCGGGAAAGAGCGCTATGGTGAGTCACATGACTCAGGCAGAAGTGTGATATTTGTGTGTGTTGTACTTGATGCCATTTTAAAGTAACCTCATAGCACTTTGTTATTTTTTAGCTGTATTTAGATGTGTATACATTTACTTAACTCTCACTACAATGATGGTAATCATTTAATGAATAAGCGTCACGTGAACATGGGGGTGCATTTTGAGTTCAGTGTAGAGAAGTCCTGAGGTTAAAATAAATCCTGTTAAATTTTCTGATTTGTAGTTTATTTTTTACAAATTATGTTCAAGGGGCAACCCGTTTGTGGACGTCCTGAAGTACGTTTGCAATGTGAATTTGCAGTTCTCTTTTAGAATAAAGGGTTGGACATTAAAGCTTTTTTCCATCAGTCATCCATTATCAAAAATCCTTCGTTGCAGCCCTAACATACACCTTCAACATAAACAGATCCACCAAATCTAGTCTGTCCAGTGGTGCTCCGTTGGCTGGTTCAAGCGCCACATGTGTGCGGCAGACATATTAGCGCATGTGTTGGGACAGAACTGCGTCCTCCTGATACAACGGTAGGGTAAACACAAAGTTACAGGTATTATGCAACGCTTCTTACCTACGCACAGCCAGGCCTCCCAGCAGCTTGTAGCGGAGAGACTCTGCCTGAGCAATGGCACACAGCCCACGGGTGGCAACCTTCTCAGCATACAGCTAAGAAGAGGGGAAAAGGGTCAGAACGTTAAACATCCTGAAAACGCAGCATTGCAGGTGAGCTTAAAAAGGGCCATTGGTGAGTACCAGTGTTTTCTTTCTTGATGACATGAATGTTGAACATCCACATGCTTGAGACTTAACATGCACATAAGATTACTGCTACTATGGAGAGGTTAATAGCTCTTTCAACCGCTCAGACAATTGCCCGTCTTCATGAGAACAGGACTTCCTGATCTGAGGAAATTGAGAACGTGGACCTGAACCGGTAACTCACAGAACTAGATTCCTGTTTTTCCCCCAATCATTGTATCATCACTGAAGGAAGGCCATTAAGAGGTTTATGCTTGGGACATGCATCACTGTGTTCTACAAATAATCTGCACACATCTTAATACATTAAAACTATTACACCAATAAATCCAGAATAGTTAAAACCTTTAGTCCTACATGTTAGCTGGCAAGGTTGTAAATCATGGGGAAAACACTTCAGTGCTTTACTTGTTGCATGTTCCTTACCTCAACACTGCCCTCGGGGAAGCCAAACCTCTTCTGGACCACAGCGGTCAGCTCTCTGATCCGGCGGCCCTTCTCACCAAGAACATTCTGGGTCCTTAGAATAGGAAATTTAAGGATTAGATTAAATTCAGACGAAAAAAAACATGCACTGCAGCAAATATTAAAAGCAAAGTCGAGCTTCAGTGCCTATTGTGTGAAAAGGGGGAACAGTAGATGGGTTAATAGTCAAGGTGGAGTATATTAGGTGTGTATTATTCAGACAATGAAGCAATCTAAATTCCCTGAGTGCAAGTAAAGGTTACATTTTGAACGTTGGTCATACTTGAGCGTTATCTGTAGTTTAAAATGCAGGTTCTCTTCATTAAGTCTACCACCACGTTTCATTCAGCAGGGGACATTGCGTTTGTGCTGCTTCAACCCTTCTCAGACAAATGCCTCAATGTCTTCAACCAAAAAGGGACTCCCTGCTCTGAGGGACTGGAGCGGAACCACAGAACGTGAATCTGGACCAGAACCCTCAGAAGCAGTCTGAGCCCCGTTCCGACTCGTCATCGTATCATCACTGAAGGGACAATGGCCAAACGCACGGCTACGTACAACAGATGAAAGCTGGTACAGTGAACTCTATACCAGATACTTAGTGGCATTAAATGTTGCAATGGTTGATGACACACTTATTTATTATTTTTAAAACTCATGTATGATCAACATTCAAGGCCAGGCACTCACCTTGTAGCCAGGATGATGATCTCAGTCCTGGTCGGGGTCACACGCACCTCCACACCGGAGTAGCCATCCTCAGCAAGCTCGCGTGTCAGGAACTCGTTCAGCTCTGCCTTAAAGACACCGTCTGCGACGAACTACGGGAAGAAGACAGGGTCAACTCACCTACTGTCCAACGGAGGGGAAACACGGGACTTAATGCAGAGAATGTGTCCCCAGACGAGGAATCAAAAGACATGTAAACAGGACTCAACCTCAGACATGTTTATAGTTTATAACTCAAAGCAGATAATTTAATATTAGTAATTACTATAAATATATCATTGATATCCTAACTATATTCTACATGTATATATTGAATTAAACTATGAACTATTAGAACAGGAGGTGTTTTGACGTGCAACTCAATACGCAGTTTCTAGTTCGACCCTTCTCAGACAAATGCCTCTGTGTCTTCATGAGAAGAAGACTTCCTGGTCTGAGGAACTGGAGCCGAACCACAGGACGTGGACCTGAACCAGTAACCCACAGAACTGGAGCCTTATTCCGTCTCGTCATCGTATCATCACTGAAGGGAGGGAATTTAAGAGTTACGCTTGTGACCTAAATCGTTGTATTCTCACTATTTGAATACAGAAGCTGTTCAAGACAATAATGTCAGTTCTTTACAGTGTTGTGGATGAGAAACCTATTCGATCAATATTATAACCGCATTAAGTATCTGCGACAGCATCCCTGTAACCGGATAATATTAGCAGTTTTCTACATGCAAGTTCCATTAAATAGAACCACATCAGATGTTTAGGGATGTTCAGAAGTCTTGTTACGGTCACGTACAAAACTGCCGTCAGTCGCTAACAGGGATTCAAAGTTAACTCATTTACGATGTCCTGTCAGATGTCCCTCCGCATTTAGTGTCGTCAAACTGTATTTCGTATTTTCATCCAAACTGTATAGCGCTTAATCTAGAGGGCCGATTTAAATTGACTCGGAAACTAACGTTCTCTCACTAGCTGCCTGCTCCACATTATGAACCCATTCCGCTTAAGAGGAGACGTGGAGATATTCGCGGGGTTGGAGGTCTAATAAACATGTTTTCAACACAACCCGACGGAGTTTTAACAGAGGAAGGGGCTCGACTCGGTGGGTATCTGCTTGAAACTCGCAGCCGGCCGAGGCGATAGGGAGCCATGCTAGCTCGCCCAATGAGGACGCGGGGGACAATCTGGATTAATCCTATCAGGACCGGAGGCTCACAAGTTCGACCGACACCGGGATGAACACTAAACGTTCATATCCTAGCCAAGGTCACCCCATTTATGTACAAACCGCCTGTCTGTGTGGGTAAAACGGAGATTATTTAGCGCTAACCTTCCTCTTCTTCGAGATTTGCACCGCCATCTTCCGAAAGGCCGTAGACAGGAAAGGACCACCAGCGGATACGGAAATGGCTTTATACAAACATGACGAACTTCCGGTGATGGTCTGTTCAAGAAGCCGCTGGGATTTGTAGTTCTAAATACGAAGCAAGCAAATTGATTCTATCTTTGATACCCGCGGGAAATGATTCATTTAGCCAGTATGTCTAAGAAAGTTGAACACATTTTGAATAGTTTTACATTCGTATTTAATATATTATTTATATATTTATAGTGATTTTGCTGCGTTGAGTGCATGAGTTTCTGCTTTCTTCATAATTGCAGCTGGAATGGTGAAATCTGTTGTTATTTGTGGATGTATTCTTTTAACTAGCAAATTAGCAAACAAACTGAAGCATTGGAGCCAAATGAAAATACATATTGATGAGATGAGTATCTGTCAAAGAAACGAACTTTCCATCGTGTAAGATTAACTTTTGGAGGTAGTCATGTTAGTAAGCTAATTAGTGTTATGAGAAGGCTATCTGCATGAACACCTATTGAAGTTGCTTGTGCAGCAGGGAGGCACATAATAGGAACCAAGTGTTGCATGTAAAATTAAATTAATATACCAAAAGGGGGACAATGTGAAATAGCATTGATCATATAGTGGGATCTGTGATACATGTGATAACATTGAAAAATAAAACCAATAGTTTTAAGTTTTTTTTTTTTTAAGTCCTCCTTCCTTCCTGAAACGTTTGTATGTACCAAACTGGAGAGTGGCGTGTAAAAGATTGTCATTCATATGCAGTGCATATACTGTACTTTGATCAATGCAATTTTAAAGTCTTACAGAATGCCATAATAATTATTACTCTTGATGACTACATATTACGTTGTCATAGAGTAAAGCGTGGTTGAGCAACTGAGGAGTGAGACCGTGAATGTGCACAAAGAAGCCTAATGGGCCAATTGAAGAAGAGAAGAAATTACTGGTAAAGTGCATGATGAAATGTAAACAGTGTCACACACACGCACACACACACACACACACACACACACACACACACACACACACACACACGTACTGAGATTACCTTACATTACATTGCATTCCTAGAGTGTAACCTTTTACAGAATCACTACTTTCTCATACCCACTTACCCCCCAAAAATCATCTTTTTCCAAAATTGTTGAAATATCTTTTCTCAATTGTCCCCTTTAATCTGAAACGTGTCCCCAAAACACACACATTTATGGCTGCCACTAAAATTGTTCTAGCACTTCAGATTTGTCAGGGCGTGACTGACTTTAAGGGGAACTGGGGAATTTTTAAAATCCCCAAAATATATTTTGGGAAAAAAATCCCAGCAGTGAAAACAGAAGGAAGTAAAAACAGGCACCAGATGATAGCTTGAACAGCCTCCATTAATTTATCATTTTAAAGAGGGACCCTTATTTACTAAGCACAACTTTAAAATCCAAAACGCATGTTATTAGAAAGTGCCTCCTTCAGAAGACCTACTTCTGAATCTCTAAACTGAATAGGATGATTACATTGGCCATATTACATTCAGAATATTCTTATATTCTGCATAATTGTGGATTATGTGAGCGCATGTGAATGCAGTCAGTGTCAGTCTTCCCTGCGCCCTTCCTGTGTGATGTGTCCCCATTAGTTTAGGAAGCATTGCATCAAAGAGGCCTTGTTTGTTCATCTTACCACAAGGAGTGCTGTAGAGCAAAGTCCAGATGAGAGGATCCCAGTGGCGATATGAGGCTTGACAAGAACGTGCAAGCTTGGGGTAAACCAATGTTGCAGCATTCGGAGTCTATTTAAGGACGCTGATGCTAAATTGAATGTCATACATTTTTAATTTAATGAGTAATTGGCTAAAGTGCTTCTTAGACGCGCTTTCTCCAGTTCTAAGAATCTTAAGCTTGCCCCAACGACAACATGTGCGTATGACAGGCAGGCAGGTGCAGGAAAAGCATACATTTTGTGTAGATATCATGTTGTACAACTATTACTGGGAACATTCCACATTTGAAAAACACAAATATTGATTTTTTTCATAATTTAATATCTTATGGCCTCAAGGAGGGAATCTGGTCGAGGGACGCAGCCATCCAAGTGCCGATTCGGAGGACACATCTGATCTGTCCATGCGGCCCAGCATATCCCATCAAACAGTGGTGGTTTTGTCAGCCCTGTGAGCCTGATTATTAACTAAAAACCCATAAATAACTACAATTGTATTAAAAGTCCAGCTGGAACAAAGTGCTAAAAAAGATTAAGAATTCGACCAGCCACTGCTGCTGATCCATCCTGCCCTTTCTTCTAGTTTCCGGTTTCGTTCCTTTCCTGAGTGAGGTGTCCAGTCCGTCTCCTTCCTCTCCTCGTTTGCACCCCGCCTGCTCGTCCGCTGTCTTGCCGCCCTCTCGCTTGATTTCACTGTGGCTTCTCCTCCCCGTGGCTTCTTCTTCCCCTCTCATGCCGTGCTTAGTGTCCTTTATAGCAGCTGTGTTAATTAGAAAGGGGAGGTCCTTTCATTGTGTAATGCGGTTGGCCACGGCTCTCTGTAATTGATTAGTCCCTCCAGGTGCATGTAGTTTACTGAAAGGTGGGTTAATACGTAAAAATGTAACAAAACAAACCATGCTAAAATGTAAAAACAAGCCATGCTAAAATGTAAAAACAAGCCATGCTAAAATGCAAAACCAAACCATATAACAAACCAATAATTTACAGAAACCACAATGTCCCCCTGGTGACAGTTTCATTTATTCAGGATGAGGCAGGTGAGCCGACCGCAGAGAAAGCGGGAGCTCACTTTTAAAGACCACCAATGTTGGTCACGGAGTCCGACAAGGTTCTGTACTTGGACCGATTTTATTTAACCTCTATATGCTTCCTTTGGGCGATCTTATCAGGAAACACCGCATAAACTTCCATTGTTATGCAGACGATACTCAACTATATCTGTCGATCAAGCCAGAAGAGACGGACCAGCTAGTTAGACTTCAAGAATGTCTTGGAGACATCAAAACTTGGATGACCAGCAACTTCCTGATGCTAAACTCAGAAAAAGTTATCCTGTAGGGCCAAAGCGCCTTCGAAGCCAGCTGTCACGTGTTACAGTTTTTATGGATGGAATTGCTCTGGTACCCAGCAGCACCGTCAGGAATCTGGGAGTTCTCTTCGACCAGGATATGACCTTCAACTCGCATATAAAGAATACTTCAAGGACTGCCTATTTTCATCTACGTAACATATCAAAAATCAGGAACTTCCTGTCTCAAAGTGATGCAGAAAAATTAGTTCATGCGTTTGTCACTTCCAGACTGGACTACTGTAATTCTTTGTTATCAGGCTGCTCTTAAAAATCTCTTAAGCCTCTCCAGTTGATTCTGAATGCTGCAGCACGTGTATTAACAAGAACTAGGAAAAGGGATCATATCACTCCTGTATTAACTTCTCTGCACTGTCTCCCTGTTAAATCAAGAATAGATTTTAAGGTACTTCTCCTCACCTACAAGGCACTTGCTGGTGAGGCACCGTCGTATCTTAAAGAGCTTGTAACACCTTATTGCCCTACAAGGCAGCTGCGCTCCATAGATGCTGGGTTACTTGTTGTTCCTATGGTTTTAAAAAGTAGGCTGGGGCCAGAGCCTTCAGTTATTTATCAGTTATCAGAACCAGAACCAGAACCAGGTTCCACTTTCAGTCCCGGGGGCAGATTCGGTCAGCTCTTTTAAAGTAAAACTTAAAACTTTCCTCTTTGATTCTGCCTATAGTTAGGGCTGGCTCAGGTTAGTCCGGACCAGCCCTTAGTTAAGCTGCTATATTCTTAGACTGCCGGGGGACTTCTTAGGACACACCGAGCTCCTCTCTCACGCTCTCATTCTACCATAATTCACGTTTTATTAATGCACATGACTAATTCAGCTTCTTTCCGGGAGTTTTTTGTGCTTTTTCCCCTAGCAGGTCTCCGTAGATCGTAGTTCCTTCTGGACCCTGGTCCTGACACCTACCGTGGCCCTGCTGACGCCTGCTGCTGCCATCATCATCATCATCATCATTATTATTTTAGATATTAATCATATCACTGTACTCGTAAACCAACATTACCCTCTCCTAAAGTCTCTGTGCACTCCCTCCCCACAGGATTCTGTAGATGGTGGTTCTATCTGATGGTGGTTGCCCCTGCAGTGGTCCTGCTGTGCGCCTGGCTTACTACTCACAATTATTTGAATCATTTCTGTCATAGGAATTGCATGTATTATACATTGTTCATTCTGTACACATGGCATCCATTGTAGTCTGTCCATCCCGGGAGTGGGATCCCTCCTCTGACGTTCTCCCTAAGGATTCTTCCCTTTTTTTCCCTCTTGGAAGGCTTTTTTCATTTTTTGGGGAGTTTTTCCTGTGCCGATGGTGGGTTTCGGGACAGAGGATGTTGTATGTGTACAGACTGTAAAGCCCTCTGAGGCAAATTTGTAATTTGCGATTTTGGGCTATACAAAATAAAATTAATTGAATTGAATTGAATTAAATGTAACTTATGTAATAGAATTCACTGGAATTTATCCACTGATAGTGGAATAATGTTATTACATTACATCTTAGTTTCTAATGACGCTTAAGTGACATGACGTTGGTAACCAATGTTGGGTTTTTAAATACACATAAGACATGAAAAATAAATGCTCTTAGTTATAACTCCGTCATGCTTTATTGACTGTATTAATTAATTTCCTATGACTTACGATTGTAATACTATTCCCAGCTGAAAGTACATTGCTTAACCGATGTTGCTGGAGGACCCACCCCTGCGAATGCTGGGTCACACACAGCAGTCACACACACACACGCACAAACACGCACGCACACACACACACGCACACACACACACACACACACACACACACACACACACACACACACACACACACACACACACACACACACACGCACACAGAGTGGTAGTCACTAAAGCTTCCACTAGATGGCATCATGTCTCTACTCTCTTTCTCGAATTCTCATTAGTGCTCAACAGATGTACAGAATGTACTGGGCAATTACTTATTAGGAACAAAACAGATGTATGGCTAACATTCAAGTGAACATCTTTAATATTTATTTTAATTGTCAAATTGGAATGTAAGACTTTGTGTAACTTGCAGAACTTTGTGTTTGAAGGAAAAGGTAACTTTTACATTGTTGAAAAAGGTAGCAGGCTAAAATGATTCGTTTGCATCTACTCCTGGCGAAGTCTTTGTTTTCATCCCAGCAGGTAACAAGGGAGCCTTTCGGACAGCTCATTACCACCTGCCAGTAGACTGCTTGCTGAAATGACTTAATTCCCTGCTCCCACTGTCTAGCGTAGCAGTGAGCGCTGATGGTACTAGGTGTTGGTTTTTTCTGATGGCTGAGTTGAGTTTATAGCACATGACACTTATAATACAGTTTACATTACAGTTTATAAATTTGCTTCCAATTAAAGAGATCCCCCGTCCAGGTTTGTGTTACAAAGTGGATCTGTAGCTCTCGTGAGGCTTTAGCAGTCTCTATTAGACAAATCAAGCAGGCATTTTCCAAACATCTGTCTTTTAAGTGTTAAAGGACTTCTTTATTGATGAATCCTCAAGACACACTTGGAATTTGTTAGACATGACAACCACTCAATATAGTGTTATGTATGGAGAAATGACCTCTAAAATCACTGAACAACAAATATTAGCTTAATATCCAAATTTAAATATCTGACACAACAGTGGGTGGTGTGGTATTTGTCTTAAACCCCAGCAATGTCTACAGAGTTTAAACAGAAGCTGGTTAAAATGATCATGCACAATCAACATGGCATCTTATGTTACTGGCATCCCCAAAATAAGAACAAAATATATTTTTTCAACGTTAGACAGAAAAAGTTTCGGAAGCAATCTACTAACTTAACATGAATGCAGCAAAGCGTATCTTATTCTGCACAGGCTAGATTATAGAGAGTTGTAAAAGTGTTTTTTAAACTCTCCCAACCCTTCACTTTCCCTCAAGGCTCAAACTCTAAAGACCCAATGCATCTTCTGAAGCCATATTATATGTTTTGGGGCGCACTGAATATTATGGCTGAACCTGAGCATGAGGTCGGTCACATTTTTAATCCAATTTAACCTCAACGCACCACTGCTGTTTGATATGTGGGGTTTTTGAGGACATTTGTAATTCATTTCAGATACCCCCACCACCCCCCCACAGCCTTCTTTAAGCTTCTCCTCAAACCCATCCGTTCCCTCTTCAACTAGGCGTTAATCAGTAATTTTTTCCCTTTCTCTGGAAGCCCTGACACAAATCCTTTACTGCCGCCAAACTCTTCCAAATAATGTCTCACACACACACACACACACACACACACACACACACACACACACACACACACACACACACACACACACACACACTAGAGCACTGGGGACGACGTCGACTTCTGCTCCACTTTGTGTGAATAGATGGAAATCAGTCACAAGTATCTCTGTGCCCCATTGTGTGCTGGGAAGTCTTTGTTCGAGCATCTGTTGCCCAAACATTCTCCTCAGTGTCACTCACTCTAAATTGGGTCTGTTCAGACGAGTTGTAACAAAACTCACTCCTCCTTCCCGACCAACCCACCTACACACACACACGCACGCACACACACACGCACACACGCACACACACACACAGAGGGCAGGGCCGGGTGATTCCCTGAACGCAAGTAAGAAAAAGAATTAATCTTTGTCCCCTTTGTACTTCATTGAGACCTAGAGGATCGTAAAAGCCCGAGAAGCAGTGGCAGCAGTTTAGAATGAGGCTCGTGGGAACGCAAAAAGCCACATTTGTGTCACTCCATCATGTTAACTGCAAAGGTGTCTGGATGTCTAAAGCCATTACAAGGAATCCGAAACCAGAAACCAGAAACCAGAAACCAGAAACCAGAAACCAGAAATCAGAAAAAAGAATGTTGATTTCGGTAGTTTGTTGCAGTCAGGACAGGTCAAAATACAAAAGATATTCTCATTCAAAACCAGTAATATTACTAGGAATTATTTAATTCTGAGACTCACACCTGTGAGGTTGCTGTATCCTCTCATATCCTTTTTAAACAGAGCTATTTTGCCCAAACTAGTCAGAGAACATCACCTTCTCTGACTGCTTAGCTCAGCTCATCATCTAAGCTAAGGAATATGTTTTTATGAGAGTTAGCGCAAGGGGACTAATGTTATGGTGATGTGATGATACAACTGAAGACAAACTTTATTAGTGCGGTTTATGTGGATCACCATTAGAGCTCTCGGACAATCTTTTATCTACCTATGTTGCATGCTATTTTCATTAAGTTAAGTTTTTGTTTAACCCAAGTCAAGAATGATCTAATATAAATATGTACTATAATCTTCAGAGAACTGTCTGAAAGCATCCACGATTTACAGTAATCAAATAACTCAACTCTTTCTGTGCACTATAAAACTAAAATGACAACGGTTTAATGAGAAACAAGACAGCCAGGCACTCACTTTTCAAAGACTTTTATTTTGAAATAAAAGGGGACAAATATATTAAGATAAAGAGCTAGGATATCAACATAACTCGTGGAATGTAAACAATAAATGCACTATAAATTATTGTTGTAAATTATGTAAAAGAAAACAAAAAAGAAAATAAGATATCAAACACCACAATAAGGTTTCGCTTCGAAAAACAAAAAAATAAATAAGGCTTTAAGTTAACAAAAGTTACAAAAAAAAACGGCTTGCTGCCGGTTCAAGCGAACAATAAACTACAAGAAGCATCTCCGGACTCCTTGGAGCAGGTTGAGTTGACTTCACGACACAAAACAAGCAATGCCGACATTGCCTGTTTCATTCAAACTCGCTTGATTTCATTCGGAGAGTTAGCGAGCTAACCAGCTGGCTGGCGTGCAACAGTAGTCAGCCAATAAACACATTTTCATCGAGGCAACTCAGAATCATAAAAGTCAACAATAAACAAAGGTCACCTGTCAACAAGTAGATGGCACACAGGGATCTCCACACACCAGGACCACAAGGCTGTAGTTCAGCAGTCCCAATGAAAGGAACGTGTGCAATGGAATATGGAATTCTCCAACATACACATTTCTTTTGATAGCTGCGTAAAACACCCCCGTATCCCCAGCATTTTGCTTTACATTTAGATAACAGCACTTAACAAAAAGGTTATTACAGTCAGAGATTGGAGGCTTCATGGAGAGGAGAGGAGACTCGCCGGATGCTCACAATGACAGCAGGCAGGCCGGTGGCTCTGCAGGGGACCAACTCGTGGAGCTGCTGTCTGTGTGAGAACTCAGCAAGTCCTGATTTCTGCCAGGCCTGATAGCCAATAAGGCAACATAAGTACATATAGAATGCCAAAAATGTTTCTCTTTCTCCTTTTCCCTCTCCTGTCCGCGAGCCTTCTTAAAGCTGCTAGATAGCGTCAAAAACAAGCAGATATCAGACATCATGAATGCATAAGTAAAGCATAATTTCTCGGGTATATAAAACAATGCATACAAATAACCACAAACTCAACGAATTATACAAAAAAGCAATAAATAAGTCTTCGAAAGTGTGAAGGTTTAACAACAGTCATCATAACCCTGTGGTTAAAGACTAACAGTTAACAGTTCTAGTGGGTTAGGGGGAACTCTAACATCAACTTTGGTAACTAGAGAGAGTCAGTGGGTCGCTTACACTTCTTTTTGCTGAAATGAGGTTCAGCTGAATCCTTGACAAGCAGTAAAAATGGCTGACAAATACAATCACGTGGCTACAACCATTCAACCAATTGATAACTCAATCAGTGACAGCATACAGTTAAAAGAGGCTGGTTTGACACATTTGGAAAGCCTCAATACAACTGGAGAAGAGCTGCTAGCGTCACTATAAACTGTAAGGAGTACAAATAAGATCTGTTAAAAAACAACATGGCTATATTAAAAATACAATGTGGATAGCGCACACCAGTCATACATACGGCAAACAGCATTCATCTCATAATCCTTGTCAATTCAGGGCAAAGGAAAACTCTCACATGGAACTGACCCACCCAGTAGGAATAACATATGGGCGTCAATGCCAAGCTCCACAAAGTACACTCAAAATACTCTCTAAAATGGGTATACAACAGTATACAGCAGTAACAATGGCAAACAATTTCATAAAAACAACAATTCAAAAAATAAAAAAACAAAAAACAAGTCAGCTAAAAGTGGACAAACACTGAGCAGCGCTACAACTGCTTGGATGAGGAATGCAATATGCACAAAGTTGGGTATGTTTACCTGGCTGGATTTAGGGAGGAGCTGAATAACTAATGCTTTAATCCTTTGTGACAGGTATCTTAAATTGTTTGTGGACCGGAAAGAAGAGCCGACACCAGTACCTCGTCACATCAACTTAACAACTAGACCGCTTACGCCCTGGTGAAATCCAGCCCTACAGCAAAACTCTTCCCTAGTCGTCTGTGACAGACAGCCGGCTGAAGATGGGCAGGCGACGGCCCTCGAAGCTCGGCGACTCTGTGCCGCTGGAGGAAGAGCTGAGCGAGCAGGAGGAGGTGTAGCCTTCCTCAGAGAGGGAGTCTGCCGACGAGCAGCGTTGGAGGCCGGCCAGGCCGCTCAGGGAGACCGGCAGTTGCTGGGGGAGGTGGTACGCCAGGTTCGGGTTTTTGGATGGGAAAGCGGACGAACACCTGGTGCCGACAGAATCCTTAATGGCGTAGAACCGCAGAGCCGAATCGCCGCCGTCGTCGGTCAAGGCGGGGATTCCGGAGAAAGGGTAGGGACAATGCTTTAGGGCCCCCGGCTCGGGGAAGAGAGGGGAAAGGAGCTCCGGGCTCCCCGTGGAGGACGGAGGAGGGGAGACGGAAGAGGCCCGGGTGAAGAGGAACGAGGAAGGCTGCAACTCCTCAACTGGTTGGAAAGTCTGCATAGAGGAGGAGAAGCCTGCAAAGCTGAGGCTGTGCCGCAGGAGAGGAGGCCTCATCTTCTGCGGAGGCGCGCCAGCAATGCTGTTGCCGAGGACCTCGTCGGCGTTGTGGATGAAGTGGCAGCGGGCCCCGTACGGGCAGAAGCCTATCGTGTGGAATGTGCGGCACGGCTCCGTCTTGTACTTGGGGTGCCTGCTGAGCCCCCTCATCTCATCCATGCCGTGGGCGAACTGGCACTTGGCGCCGTACTTGCAGGTCCCGCTCTCTTCGAAGGTGCGGCAGAGCTCGGTCTTGTACCGGGTAGAGATGTGAGGCGAGGGGGCAAGGGGCCTGGAGGTCGAGGGGGACACGAGGGAGGAGAAGGAGGCGTTGCTGAGGGAGAAGCCTGGCGGCGGGAGCAGCACTTTCGGGGACACGTTAGCCATCTGGTCGTCTCTGCCTACTGAGCCGCTGACGTTGCCCTCGATCATGCTGACCGAGCGGTCGACCCTGAAGGGAATGTGGCTGAGTGTGGAGCGAGGAAGCTGACTTTCTCCGCTCCACCCCTGGCTGGGGGCCACGTTGAGGCCCCAGCCGGCTGCCGCGTCAGTCACCTCAGAGTTGCTGCTGCTGCTGCTGCTGCTGTTGTTAAACTTGGAGTTAGGGAGGGTCACGGGGCACAGAGAATGGCGACGCTGGAAGCCCAGGACTCTCTGACTGTGCTGCGTCCGTTGCGGCTGTGAGCCGATTGACGAGCCATCTGTTGCCTCCAGGCCACGGAAATTCTGTCACACAAAAGGAGAGAGGAGAAGAATAGATGTGAGCTTTCTGCATTCCTGGAGCGCTGGAGCGAGACTGGCAGGGCCAAGTTGAGCTGAAAGGAGATTTTAAAGCTCCAACTGAAGCAACTACACTGTGTTTTAATGTTGAGAATGCAAAAAATGAGGCCTCAAAGAAGGTTTCTTTCCAGTTCCATGTAATAATAAAATGAAAAGTTGAAATTGTTGAAATGGTGTGCAACTGTATGCACAAAAACAAAACTCCATCGATATCTATGAAGTATTTTATTGTGTTATAGTTTCAGCTATTATGTTTCAGTTTGTTCTTCACAGATAAGGAAAGAAAACAACTTATTTTTTTAACCAAAATATAAATGTTCTAAACTTTTCTCTGACGTCTCAAACTTGGTGTTGACAAATCCTACAAAAAAATAAAAAATTAAATGAATGATTTAAAAATGTTTATTGTTAAAACAATTAAATCATTTATTGCATGATTAATGAGGCCACAGGTTGAATAAAACCTGTCCACTTAATTAGCTCGTAGTCAATTCACTAAATGTATACTTTTTAAATTGAGAGCCATCGGATCTACCTATTTGTGCACAAAATGTTGAAATGGTCTTTGGTTGCACTCACCTTAAAGAATTCCTCATCCAGTTCCAAGAAAGGCGTTAGAAAGTCGGAGGGCATGGTTTACTCCGCCGTCCTAGCCGGATGAAGGAGCCGGTGACTGGAGAGGCTGGGGAGGATAAAAAGTTCTCTCGTCTTGGCTCTCCTACGGTTGAGAAGCTGCTGGTCCCAAGTGTTTTTTTTAAAAGGGGATAGAAATGAAGGAGAAGTCAGATCCGTTGAAAAGGAGACAAGAACGTGGGAGAGAGAGAGAGCAACGTGACCCCCTTGGAGGAAAGTTCCTCGGCCATCTGTTGGCATCCGCTTAAATAGTTGGGGAAACCCAACCGTATACACCCACCCCCTGCCTGTGTTGCTCAGGGGGCAGGGCAGGGAGTGTGTGTTAATGTGTGTTTGTGTTGGGGGGGTGGGGTGGGGGACACTCCATTGTAATAGTGTGCTGGGGGGCAGGGTGGACACAGAAAGAAGAGGAGGGAGTTGAATGAAGCCACTTTTCTACCCATTCATTACCAAATCCTTAAAGATGCATTCTTTTTACTTTATTTTTTACCCGTCGTCCCCCCACTTTGTTTAAGATCGATACAGCAAAGGAGATGATGACCAGGATTCCACATACCAAAAAACAATCATCGCCATTGGTGGAGTTAAAATCATACATAAAAAACAGCAAATTGGTTAAACGTGTATTTGACATCAAAAGCGACTCTTCTTTACATGTATGTTTATTCCTCCAGATGTTTTCATCTGCACTGCGTTCAACCCTGATAAAGTGAGTGAATAACATGCTCTACAGAGGAAGAAATGTGCAACCTGATCAAAACATAATGACTTTTCGTCATATGGATTTGTGTCATCACTTTAAGGCAAGACCCTACAAGCAAGACCTTGTGTTTTATGCACTGTGGGATTTGGTTCCGTTTGGCGTCCATATCTTGTCTCCTTTTAGACTATTGGAAAGAAAACAGCCTAAATACTCATTACAGTCTTTATGCCTCCACTGTGTCTACTTGCGTTTCTTGTAGATTTCTCTTAAATTCACAAAACGTTAGGATAAGATAACGCTTCATATGCTTATTATTTATCACTAACATTTCGGATTTAGATTTCAGTTTTACGATACATATCTTTAATGTTTTATCTGAGTGAGCTTTTCTCAGACTGTTGGCCAGAACAAATCTACACTTAAGCATCACATACATACACTAAATGTAACAGTCTCATTCCGATCTATTCATAATGAAGGTATTTCAATGAGAGGTTTGTTCATCATAGCGTGTCCATATTCTATTCCCGAAAACATGGCAACAACGTATTTTAAAAAAGCTATTCCAGACTGATGGAAGGATAAAAGAGATATCTGAAAATCTCTCTGGAAAAAAGTTTTGACTGCGATGTCAACAAAAGGAAACAAGAAGTTATCCAAAGGAGGTTTGATGGTGGTATCTATTAGTTAAAAGGTTTACCTTATCTCCCTTTGGTGTCTTCACTCTAAGACATCCCATTTAAAGAATTAAACAAAAGGTAGTCCAACTGGATGCAATAAGGTCTCTGTACAAACACCAGTTTTACTATTCTGTTCAAGCATTGTTTTTTCACACTTCATTGAGTCTCTACTCAATAGAAAAGTTAAATTGTGTCCAGTAACAGCACAAAATCTGGAACAAGAGTTACTGTTTTCTCAGATGTGACACAGACACAAACCATTTGGTTCCAACTTGGAATCCTTTTTGTGTGTCTCTTTTCTTCCGTATCACATTCATTCCGTGCAATGGTTCCCTCACTCACTCATGGCAATTGGAAACTCCAAAATGCCCAAAGGTGTAAAAGGAGAGTGAATGTGTTAGACTGATGGACTGTTGAAGGTACCCCTCCCAGCTTTGTGAGGTGAGCTTTAGTTCTTCAACATTTTTCATTTTCAGAGATGCCTTCAAGGTACAACGCATACAAGGATGAATATGTACAATACATTGTAATGGGACACAAGTTGTTGTTGCTGTCTATTAAACTGCACTATTTACCTTTGTTTCTTGCAAACACAACTCCACTTACTCTATAACGATGTCCATACTTCTGTCATAATTACAATATTTATACATTTTGCAGTGGAAAAGTAAATGATAATGAAGTAGAAAAAAAATCAAGGAAATATAAATATATAGAATATAGAAAATATTAAGGATATCTTTTGAGATTGAATTACTTAAAACTTCACCGCTTCATCTTTAACGGTCACGGCCTCCCATGTATGTGGGATAAGAACAAGTTCTGACATTTCGCTCAGTGGCATTTCACCCACTCCCACAGGGGTAGCGTCTTCATCCTCACGGTTTGCCATTTCAAAGCCGGTTGTTGTGTTCAAATGCAAATCGAGGTCAGTAAGGACGGTTCAAAGCTAGTTGCGAGACCAAACCGGCTCTCAGCAACAAAAGTCAGCCACAACAACTTAAAGGTATCGCCTTTTGGAGACTTATAGGTATTTCATTAATTCAGTTCCACCATTTTGGATCAAAGGTATGAGTGAACACAATTAAAGAATGTATACTGGATGCATGAAGCAAAAGTCAAGAGAAGAAACGCTACTGCATAACCACTATTAAGCGATAGCAGTGGCGGCTGGTGGAAAATGTTCTAGATGGGACAATCAAATCAATTTTAGAAAATATTTAACTGCGTTAAAATCCGTGCTCGTCACCATCTCCAGAATTCTCCACGCCTGCCAATACCCTTGACTAGAATATGCGAGCTTAAGGCAAAACCAATGTTGCCCCAAGGTGAGTCTATTTAATGATGCTGATTGGCGAAATTGTACGTCACACATTTTTCTAAACAGCAATTGGCTAAAGTGCTTCTTAGATCTGCCTTCTGTGGGCAATCTTAAGACGCATGAAGACAGGACGTGCAGAGTACATTCCATATTTCAAAAACACAAATATTTACATCTTTTCTTTGTGCTCAAGGAGGGGCGCTTTTAGCTTAGATGGATTGTTCTTTTACAAAAAGAGTGTGTGGACAAAATCTGCGTTAATATATAAACGGGTAACTGGTCATTGTTGCTTAGACTCTAATGTTTCGAACAATGTGAAGCATTATTATATTTGTTTGAGTATGGAATACTTTGGTCTAGTCTCAGTTTCGAACAAAAAACGGTGATGATCAGGCCAAAAAGGTTGAACTGTAATGTCAAGTGTCATATTTGTATGCAAACCACAATAAGACTTTTATTACCTAAAACCGTGTTACTGTGTCGTACCAGCCTGAGATCCAAGCTCCACCCTCGTCTCCACCCAAACCACTGCTAACTGAAATGCCACGTGAAATTTCAAGTTCAAATACAATGATGGGACAATGTAGCTATAAGAAATATTTCTTTCTTTCCCTAAACCTGATCGGAGCTTTATAAAAAATGCCTTCCTTTCATAATCTACATACTGATGCAGAAGGAATTAAAATTGATTTACCAACAAAAAAATGGCTGGCTCGTGATTTCATTGCGTGGAACCTGTTCACAGAACATTAAAATGAAAAATAATTCCTGTGTGTTGTAGAGGGCTGTGTATCAAAATGTAATGTTTGACAGCTGACCCAATTTATGACCATGTCTGCAACCATTAAAGGCAAAAGTCTTTCTTGTTCATATTCTCCATCCTGTTTCCTGTTTACTCTGTTTCACTGCTAAGGTATTAATTAAATACTTTTTAGTCGGTTAATTCTAAACAACAGTTTGGTTAACACTTTTTTTAAAAATTAAAGGTTTTGAAAAAGTTTTCAATGAACCACAATTATTTAAAAATGCACAATTCTGCCTACTTCTGAAGTGCATTGACGTTGATGTTTACTTACACACTAACATTCACACTACGGGGGCACCATGAGTGCAGAGAATGCACGTTTGCATGTAAATGTGAATATTATAAGAGGTTAATTTATTATGTCGCTTATGTGAAATACAGATGCTGTTTGTATCTAAACACTTGTACTCTGCCACCTACCAACTCACACGCACACACACATCGCAAAGCTACAGACAGTTATGTTGGTTGTGTAAGAGCAGTTGCTGTGTCACTAGACCTGACCACAACAACAGAGAAACCGAGAGAGAGAGAGAGAGAGAGAGAGAGAGAGAGAGAGAGAGAGAGAGAGGGGTAACAGATAAATGTGTATGATCGATTAGACAAAATAGGAGAGGGAAAAGAGGGGATGGGGGGAGTGTGATTTGAAATTTGTGTACTTTAACAGTTTTAAATTACTCAAATAATAGTGTGGACAGATAGAAATTTGTTGAGGAAGCAAACTGTAAAAAAAAGGGCATGGTGGAAATAAAAAAACCAAATAGAAAGACATAACGACAGTCCGCCTGTTACCAAACCGACTGCCCACAGGGAGGAAACCACACGGGATTACAGTTATTTAACCCCAAACACACACACACACACACACACACACACACACACACACACACACACACACACACACACACACACATATACATATACCGCAGTAACGTATCAGTGAGGCGTTGTGATAAGAAATGTCTGTTGCATGTTTTACAGTTTGTCTCTGCAAAAATTATCCATCAGTCATTCCAGACACCGCTGTATACTGTTGATCTACTTCTTCATTTGTGGAGTTTGGATAAATATTTTCTCAGCTGCGTTACCTGTTCAATCACACCGATGGCGGCTTACTTGACAAATTCTATTTGAGTTGAAATTAAGAACAGATTCTTCTTTTTCCCTCTGCAAACGCGCCCACACAATGGGGATTTGATCGCATCTTGTCAACACTTGTCACCAAGGTCAAGGGTGACCTGTGCGACTGGCTGGTTTCAGAACTAAAAGGAGAGACAATTGTTTGTACTTTTTTAAACCCTTATTTTCTTCTATAAAATAAGCGCAAACCGGAAGCTTTCCCCAGGTTTTGAAACTAATAGAAAACAGGCGATAGTCTCCTCTCCCATTGCAGGTATACGTGTATGCCTTGCTGCGTAAACTGTGCAGCGGTTACGTATTATTTATTTCTTGAAGAGGTACATTTACTGTTTCTGTCAACGAACTCTTGCTGCACCGAGGAGCGCATATAAACAGCTGTTTCTTGTCACATCTCAGTGTATTCGATTTCTGTTCTCACAAAACCCCAGTCGTGGATCATCGGGACGACTGACAGACTGATTACCTAATTCTATTCAGTTTTTATCGAATTTGAATGAGGGTGGATTTGTCGATCAGCGAGATAAAGTGACTTTGTTGTCTGGAGTCTTGTGCTTTGAAGAGAGTGTACTACATGCATGTTTTGTAGATTGATG